GGAGAAGTCCTCCTGCGGAAGGCAGTGATCAGCTGGGTAAGTCAGGGATAATATTATAATACCGCACCGTCACCAGTCCAGTGTGTGAACAGATGAGCAGAGAATCAGTACCCTCTCAATCCAGCAACTGTGATTTAATAGTCATGGCAAGTGACTGACAAACCCCTGGGACAACGGCAGGACTGATTAAGAAAGACACCAGTGCTAAACTTTGCCATTTAAAGTTTGTTTTTTTTCCATCACCCTGGCCACTGCCCCATGGACATCCTTGTTACGCAAGGTGTAAATGACCGGGTTGAGTAGGGGGGTGACCACAATGTAAAAGAAAGCAATTTGCTTGTCCTGGTTGGGAGCGTTGGCTGAGGCTGGCTTCAAGTACATGAAGATGAGGGTGCCATAGTACAAACTGACCACAGCCAAGTGGGAAGCACATGTGGAGAAAGCCTTGTGCCAACCAGCCCTTGATCCCATTTGTAACACAGACGACAGGATGAGTCCATAGGAGGTTAAGACAATGGAGAGAGGACAGAGGAGGACCACCACAGAGGTCCAGAAAACAATGGTTTCTGTTACATAGGTGTTGTCACATGCGAGCTTCAGCACCAATGGTAGCTCACAGAAGAAGTGGTTGACATGGTTGGGGCCACAGTAGGGATGTTGGAAGGTGCAGCCTATGTTCAGTGCTGCAATGAGGCAGCAAATGATCCAGGAAGCGGAAGCAAGCTGCCATTGGCGGCTCCTGTCCATGGCGATGGTGTATAATAGTGGATGGCAGATGGCCAGGAAGCGGTCATAGGCCATGACAGCCAGCAGGAAGCACTCGGTGCCGCCTAGCGTCATGGTGGTGTACATTTGGATTGCGCAACGAGTGTGGGAGATGGCTCCATTTCCGGAGAGCAGGTGAGCTAGCATTTGGGGCACAGTGCTGGTGGTGTAGCAGATCTCCAAGATGGAGAGGTGAGTCAGGAAGAAGTACATGGGCGTGTGGAGTCTAGGGTCAGCCTGCACAATCATGATGATCACCAGGTTCCCCAGAAGGGTAAGTGAATATACAAGGAGAATCATGAAGAAGAGGAGAAGCTGGGTTGTGCGGTGACTGCTGAGTCCCACCAAGATGAACTCTCGGACGGAGGTTTGGTTTTCAGGTGTCATTCTGCTCTGCTTAGCTGCAGAGACAATGTGCCGCCGCTGGAGACAGTCTGATTTTCTTGGAGACAGCCTTAACAATGAAAAGTTACTCTTTGGTTCCTGAAAGGGAACAATGAATCCCAAAGCAATCTATGAAGATAAGAGAGAGAGAATTTGGTTCCTATAGAAGACTTCATTTTCCAGTGCTCCATTACTGCAAGTTAACATTTAGTGTCTTGAATTATGCCTATTAGTATCGCTTTATAATTCTGGGGTGGGGTGTTAGGGGCAGGATAAGATGGGTACCTTCTTGGGCACTCAGTTCTCACCTGTGGATCCTAGAAGCTGTCATTCGATAGCAGCCACACCCCAGGAATGGCTTCGACTGGACAGCTAAACCAGGTGAGGAAATTAATGTTCATGGCTAACTTAGATTCATAAATTTCATTGGGTCTACTCTATGAGTATGACCAGTATTGGAAACAACCCTTTGTAATAGGTTTGCTTTGAAGTCATTACATTCTGCACTAGGTAAAGTAATCTTTAGTCAGCCCAATTCCCCCCTCCACGTTTCTCATCTTTTGCCTGACCAGAGGTGGCAACCCTAGGTACCAGTCCAGGTTCCACCAGTCTGAAAGAATAAGAGCTAAAAAACAAACAAAAACAAGATGAGCCCATTCCTCCACAACAGAGCTTTCCAAAATTTTCATGTTGATGGCACACTTTTTACACATGCATCATCTCACAACACAGTGATTCAGCTTTACTAGCAACATGGAGGTTAACCTAACCCCATTCCAGCCCCAGGAGGTGGGTTTGCGCAAACACCTACACACTACAGCTGACACGCTAGCGTGTCATGACACGGTTTCGAAAGCACTGCTCCACAATCTTACTGTACTTCCCAATAGTAAACAAGCCACATTGTGAGATGCTTGCTTTGCATGGAGACAAACTCTATCACTGTTCTCCAGTCTTGGGCAGATGACCTTCTATGGCTTCTAACCTGTGGTCCCTTAAATGGAGATGTCACAGACTTCATACGTGCAAAAACTCTGTTCTTCCTCTGATCAGTGGTTTCCCCCAAGTAGTGATTTTTTTTTTATTTGAGTGCTGGACACTCAAGGGCTACTGGATTCTCTGACTTCCTGTATAGTACACCATTCTGTCATAAACAAAGATAAAACTATACTTGCCAAAGCAGGGAAGAGCTATCATTCCGGTTCTCTGGTTCAACTGCTATGAAAAAAGCCCTAGTGCTACAGCGTTTTCTCCTGACAACAATACCACTTCCAAACTGCAAAGCCTTATAAGGCCACAGTCACCGCATGGTTTCATTGTCAGGTTTTTGCTCCCCAGGTTCCCAAAGGTTTGTCGATATAGTAATAAAGGCAAGATAATAAAGGCTGTAGGTTTTATCACTCAAGGACTCTTCCAATCCCTTTGGGGCTTTCCTCTGCTTCATTAAGTGTTTGTTGTTTTGTTATGTTATTTGGGTATCCCAAGAGCAACAGGATTGTCACACCACAGAGGAAAGGAGTCGTTGAACTTTCAAACAAAAGATTGCTGGGATGAGGAGAATCCCGTGGCACATCTTCCCAAACACTACGCAGGCCTGCAAACACGGTTGATATGCCCCTTTAATACATAGAGCGTCCATTCAAATCTGGTCATTAAATTCTATCGCTTGCATGGCAGTCCTGTACATGTCTACTCTGAGTTACGTTTAATTGAGTGCAATGAGACTCATTCCTTTACCTCTTTTAAACTTTGCAGTAACCAAGTCTGACAGATCCACTCCAATTCAACATGGGGAGGAGTTGTGGTGGAGCACGTGGCCACCCACTCTCCTCTGGGGGCAGGGACAAAGTCCCGCATTGCCCGGGGATCCCGGCCACGTCAGCAGCCAGCCAGCCAATCCGCTGGCTGGTGGGGGCGTGGCCAGGACCATTTAGGCTGAGGCGTGAGCCAGGGGCTTCCTCTTGGCTCACTTCCTCAATCTCCCATCCTCCCTCCCTATTTTTCAGGTTTTAGTCATTGGAAGAATTGATGCCTTTTTTGGACTATTTAAATAAATATTGCAGTATAATCAACTGGCGAACAGGATTTGAGCTCTGAGCAGCAGAAATAATTAGATTATTTGATAGATGGGGTGCAGCAGAAGGGGAGAAACAGCAAGGGGTGGGGAAAGGGGGTGGGAAGTTGTCAAAAATAAGAGAAAAGATGAAATTGTCTATTGACAATATGTTTTTTCTTTTCTTTTAAATAGAAAATTTGCATTTTTTAATGTCACATTGAATTCTAGTACAGTTCAATCCAAGAAAAACAACTGACAGACAGAGTAATTATCACAGGGTTATATATATATATATTACAATATGTGTTGGTATAATACAGTTGTGGCTGAATGGTAGAAATTAACTTGAGGACTGATGAAATCCAATCTCATCCGAACAGCTGTCAGGAATAGAGCACTCAATGCATTTCCAAAATAAGCACAAAGGTTTAATTTCAACACCTTAAAAACACATTAGACCTTGGTCTTTTTCTAAACTAAAAAATGTTAACACCAAGCTAGCTAAGTAACTGGAAAGGTTTGGATAGAGAATGTTCTCCCCAGGCTTTCATACAGTGGAGAGATCATTATTCCCACAACAATACACATGGCTAAAATCCACGCTGAATGTCAAACTGGCGATGTCCACTAATAACTTGTTCAGGGAACTGTGTTCTAGAAGTTACCCTTTTGCATAAAAGCAAGCAACAAGGTATAATCTTATGCAAAAATATTTCTCGAATCGTTTTAAATTGAGCAGAAAACTATAGGTATGTCATCATTATGAAAGAAAGTCTAAATACCGTATTTTCCGTGTATTAGACGAGGTTTTTTGACTCAAAAATCATGTCAAAAAACGGGGGTCATCCTATACGCGGATAGTGGCATGGTGGGGCGCAGCACAGAGGATGAGCAGAACCCATCATGCTAGTCCAGACCTTGCACTGAGTGGGGGAAGGGCACAAAGCGTTCACAGAGCCCACTGCTCCAGCCCAGCCCTCGCCACCAGAGTCACGTGGATCCATACTGGATGTCTGCCCACTCACACTGTGGGGAGCCGAGCCGGTTGAATCAGCCCTTGGCAGGTGACTAGTGGGTAGGCGTGACCTTTCTAGACCTGGTAAAAGGCCAAGGCATGCTGCCACTCTGTGTCTTTTCCATCTTCCTTTCGTCCTTTGAACTGCTGGACTGCTAGCCTGCAGTCACTAGGTAAATCTCCCTTATGGGGTAAACCTGTTTTTATATGTTTGTAAGTTTAAGCCTAAAGCCTGCCTTCAGGGATCACACTGTGCTCTGCCTGATCGTGAGCAAGCTTTCTTTTTATTGCTTATGAATAAAGACACTGTCGTCTTCATTCTTTTAGGAGGAATTCAAGGGGTCTTACCAGGAAAATGTTCGAACACCTTTCAATCTAGACAAGCCAGATTGAATTGTGTATTGTCTTAAGAAACTCACATGAGTTTGCAACTAGTTTTCTGCTGTGTAAAGGGAAAGGCACTCTGCTAAGTAAAGGAACTTGCTAGCCCAAGTTACGAAGAATATTAATAAACAATATAGCCTCTCCTGCCACCCTGAACATTCCCACAGCCCACACATGATGTTTTGAAGATACAAATAGGGCTTGTGGTTTGCTTCTGTGGGAGCAAAAGAGTAAGAGAGACTGCTCAGAACCTAAGACCTCTGACTAGGCTTCAGGACTGAGCGGAGACTTGATATGCAAATACAAAGCACATTAGGCCTTCTGGCACAGCATTCATTAAGGGGAACTGGCAGAAACTGGACAACACCTGGACTAATGACACAAGACGTCAGCATCTTATTCCAAGCCCCTTCTGCGCAGGACTTTTGCTGCTGCTGCGTGGATATCCTTGTTGCGCAGGGTGTAGATGATTGGGTTGAGAAGAGGGGTGACCACGATGTAAAAGACAGCGAGTTTCTTGTCGCTGTCGGGGTCTGTGACTGATGGGGGTTTAACATATGCAGCAATGACCGTGCTGTAAAACAGGGTGACGACCGCCAGGTGGGACACACACGTGGAGAGGGCTTTGCGCAGTCCAGTGGTTGAGTGCATCTTCAGCACAGAGAACAAAATGAGCCCGTAGGAAGCCAGAATGACAGCCAGAGAGGTCAGGATCACCACCGCAGACGTCCCAAAAACAATCATCTCTGTGGAATGGATGTCGGCGCATGCCAGCTTCATCACAATCGGCAGCTCACAGATGAAATGATTGACGCGGTTGGGGCCGCAATACGGGAGGCGGAGGGCACAGATGACGTTTGTTGTAGAGACAATGATGCCACCAGCCCAGGAGGCTGAGGCCAGCTGCACCTGGCGCCACCTGCCCATGAGGATGGTATATAGCAGCGGGTGGGAGATAGCCAAGTAGCGGTCGTAAGCCATGACACCCAGGAGAATGCACTCGGTGCCGCCCATGCACGCAATTGCATGCATCTGGACCACACAGCAAGTGAAAGAGACGGTCCCATTCTGGCTCAGGAGGTTTGCCAGCATCGGGGGCAAAGTGCAGGTGATGTGGCAGATCTCCAGGCAGGAGAGGTTGGCGAGGAAGAAGTACATGGGCGTGTGGAGCCTCAAGTCGATCCACACCAGCGAGATGATCACCAAGTTCCCCATAAGAGTGAGGGAGTAGATGATGAGGATGATCACAAAGAGCAGAATCTGCGTCTTTCGGTGGTTGGTGAGTCCAACCAAGACAATCTCAGTGATCGACGTGCTGTTTTCCATCCCCGCACTGGCCTCCTACTGGCAGGAAAAACGACAACTCATTTTAGCAATAGGGAAGGGGAAGGGGAAGGGGAAGGGGAAGGGGAAGGGGAAGGGGAAGCAAAGCAAAGCAAAGCAAAGCAAAGCAAAGCAAAGCAAAGCAAAGCAAAGCAAAGCAAAGCAAAGCAGCAGTGAGAGACTGCAACATTCTCTGGGAACTGAGAGGGGTGAGATTGCTGGAACAGAAAGATTTATATCCAGTGCTTAAAAATTTTAAAAAAATTAAAAGGTGCCGGTACCCACCAAGAAAGAGGAAGATGGGTGGCGCTGTGGTCTAAACGGGGTGAGCTCCTGTTTCTCGGTCCCAGCTCCTGCCAACCTAGCAGTTCAAAAGCACGCCAAAGTGCAAGTAGATAAATAGGTACCACTCCGGCGGGAAGGTAAACGGCATTTCCATGCGCTGCTCTGGTTTCACCAGAAGCGGCTTAGTCATGCTGGCCACATGACCCAGAAAAACTGTCTGCGGACCAACATCGACTTCCTCGGAAAGTAAAGCGCACAGCCCCAGAGTTGTCCACAACTGGACTTAATAGTCAGGGGTCCCTTTACTTTTTTACTCACCATGAAAATATTACAGTAAGTGCACTTTTAACATTTTGAGGGGACGTAGGTGCCAGTACTGTGCACCCCATGTATACCCCCAGTAAAAACACTGTTTATATTATCTATAGATCCAGTGCTTTTTTGGGGGGACAGGGGTATGCATACTTCTAAACATTTTGTGAATCTTTGTACTTTTCTCCATTTACTGTATTTATTTTTCCTGATTTCAACTATAAAACGGTGATTTTCTTGAGTCAAAATGAGAGTACCCCTAAAAAAGCACTGTATATATATCTCTATGTCTATCACTAACTCTGTCACTAAAGCCCCACATATTTTGAACAGTTTTCCTTTCTCAGGGACACTCATGAACATCAAATTTCAATAAGCTAAAGATCAGTCTGGTAAATTCTATCAGTATTTCTATAGGAATGTTTAGTATTATTTTATATAAACTACTTAAGAGAGAGTGTGTGTGTGTGTGTGTGTGTGTGTGCGCCCATATACTTTAATTAAGTGACATTAAATAAATTTAATATGTGGTATCTGTATGTTACTGCAACTTTTTCCAGCATCTCCTCACCCCCTAGCAGTTAATCCCAGCTAGCTCACAGGTTGCCCGTTGAGCAGTTTTTACAACCTGCTAAGTCAAGAAGTTAAAGCTGCCCTGCATTGTACCATGTCAGATGGTTATGAGCAAGACAAATGATTTTCCTTTTTTAAAGAAGACATTTTTGCACATTATAAAATATTGCCAATACTACTAGGAGGACCATGAGGATGGGTCCTGCAACCACAAAGATGGAGAAAGCTCCAGTGAACTCCTAGGCACTTAGAGACTTCCCCCCCTTCCTTTCCATAGGATTGGTTCCTTTCCGCTTTTCTGCCCTCCGTTCTCTGGGATCGGGGCAACCCTAAACCCATACATATTATAATCCCCAATCTATTGAATTGAAATGGGTGAGCTTTCCTTGAGCAAAAGGCCCACAGTATTAGCAACTTAAACAAGAGGCATAGTAATTAATTAATTTCTCCTAAAACAACGAGATGTGCTCTTCTATTCCTCTGGCATGTCTGGACCAAGACGTTTTGCTGCCTAAGGCAAATAACATGATGGTGTCTCTTTTCTGCCATGTACTGAAATCAATTAGACCAATGGTTGAATCTGATTTTGACATTAGTGATGGGACAGAAATGCAAGGGGGCACAAGACACACAGCTGTTCTCCAGCACCTCACAACTGTTGCTTGCTCCCCCGCATCTGTGGCCCATTGTCACTCCGCCTAATGATAGGAATGGACCTCCCTCCCTCCCACCCACCCACCCATGCACACCAATCTCAATTCCAAATGGCTGAACAGGACTTTACCTTCATGCTTCTCTCTGATCTTCCTCCTCAAGAAAGTGGGTTCCACTTCACTTTCTAAGGCAGGATACTGAACAGTAAAGCTGATTGTCGAACTACCAGAAACTATGCAGGGAGACTTGTGCCATTTTTTTACTGCCCAAACATGCACCAATGATGGAGGTCAGTGATCTCTGTGCTGCTTCCAAAAGATGGCTTGTGGCAGGATCTTGGCAGCCTTGTGCCTAGTGGTTTCCTCCTTCAGCACAGAAGTGTGAAGTATCTGCAGCTGCCTACTGAAGACCCATTGGAATTAATTATGGAGATGGGCTGCAGGCTGTTTTTATTTTCTCCCTGACCTTCGTATTGTATGAAGTTTTAGGATCCAGTAAGATAATGAACCTATGCCATGGGGACTGTTCCAACCCCCCTTTGGTGCTTTCCTTTGCATCATTATCAACCTGCTATTGTTGTTGCCTCTTGTCTCAGGGGGGTCAATGAACACAAAAGCAGGGGGAGAGCGAGAGCAAGCAGGGGTTGCCAGAGCTCTCTTCATCCTGAGCTGCCCAGAGGCAAGGTGCACCCCAGGTTGCTGTACTGGAGGGAAATATATGGGGATACACCTTTGGGGCTTTCTTTTTCCAGAGCAGGAATGATGATGCATTTAGAGTATATCAGACTTTACCTCATATCAAGAACCACATTTTTCACTGAATTCTCAATTATCTCTTTTTTAAAAAATATTTTTTATTAATTTTCCGTTTAACAGCCCAGTCATATCACATTAATTACTCCGAATTATATCAATACATATCATAAAAATCCAAATATTTTGCTGAATTTTAAATTTTTGTTGGGGGTACCCATGGTTCGAGTTCAGAAAGGGTCCAATCATCTCATATTTCTGCTGCTTTGATATTTCACAAGTCCTATCTTCCACTCTTCTTGCTGTTATCATTTTTCTTCTTAATAACCTTCGAGTTGTTTCCACAAACGAGATGAAGCAAGCAATATTATGTTTCTGTGTGGGCTTACACATTGATCCAAAAGTCTTGTTCACGCGGCAGGCGCCATTTCGACAGTTCCGATGAAATACAGTCTAAGTGTCTGCTCATTAATTTTCCCAGACCAGTTGTTCCATAAATCAGTCTTTCCAGGGGGGATATTTCCGAATAGACATAATCCAAATAAAATAGCAGAACAGTGGCTCACCTCCCCCTTTGACTGTAAATCTCGCAACAAAGTCTGTCTCTTAATGGCGGATCCCGATTTATGACTGCGTCACCAAGAAAGCCTTTCGTTTCCTTTCCAAATCTTCAACAAAGCAAAGCCTTTAATTAATATTTGTTTCCACACAGTTTATTTTCCAGTCTCACTTGCTATAAATCATTGTGACGGTTCTTCTAGGGGAGGGGTTGTTAGGTAAAACATTGAAAAAGAAAGAAGTCCCCCCCTCTTCCGTTCCGTTTCAACATACCGACATAGCTGTGATTCTTTGCTGTAGTCTTCTGTTCAATCCATCCCATCACTCTTAACTTCTCAGCGGTAGATTTGATTAGCAGATAAAACACCCTCTCCTTCGCTCGAAACATGTACATTTACTTTTTACATCAGATTATTTTATCTTAAGCAATGCAACTAGGTCGCTCTCAGAAGCAGTGACAGGGAGATCCAAAGCTCACTCGAGGGCTTTCCATCCAGTGCCCCCACCCCCTCCTTCTTTCAGACTCGGGGGTGATTTATTGGCAACCACAGATGAGGCTGTGTCTCCCCATCCCCTGGGGAGACCCCGGGAGGCTGATTTACTCCCATCATCAGCCCCTTAATTACCTCGTGTGAGCCGGAGAGATGGTATTGTCGGCCATCTTCCAAGGCACCCCTAGCGACCCCCCTCAACTATTATCTCAAGATAATGGAAATGAATGTCTTAATACCTGAGTGAAAGTACATTTGATAGGCTCTAGGCATGATATGTGTTACCTGTTTGGTTGGAAAGCCACTCTTGTGGATACAGAATGCAATCATAGCAGCAAAATGGTTCCCCTTCCTTCTTTGCTTTATAGTAACCCAGGCTTTCATACAGTGAAGAGGTCATTATTCCTACAACAATACACATGGCTAAAATCCATGCTGAATATCAAACTGCCGCTGTCCACTAATAACTTGTTCTAGGGAACTGTGTTCTAGAAGTTACCCTTTTGCATGAAAGCAAGCAACAAGGTATAATCTTATGCAAAAATGTTTTTCAAGTTGTTTTTAACTGAACTGAAAACTATAGGTATGTCATCATTATGAAAAAAAGTCTAAATATATCAGAAGCTCTCAACATTTTCAGCTACACCGATTTCTGTAATCTTTTACAGAAGAAACAAAAGGACAAAGTAAAATGGTCAGTTAGCTAAGCTAATGCACCAAGCTGTCTTGTAACTTTTGAATAAATGTTATTTAATTTTTGTTTTGCTTTTTAAGTCCCAAGAGAAGCCGCACCAGATAAGCATGAATTACAGAGACTTTGGCTTCTCAAATAGCAGCATCCTGAAGACTGAAAGAGCCAGTGAGGAATGTTTGTGTGTGCTTTTAAAAACTGACCAGCTTTAAGAGTGCTTACTGTATTTGCCTATACACCTCTTTCCAGCATACTCAACCTATAGCACTTCCCTTCTGATGGATTAAACACACCCAGCACTGTTGGGGATATTGGAGGATGGTGTACAAACTCCAGATTCCTCTTTGTCAGTCTTTCCGAACCTGACTCCCCTCCCCCCCCAGACAATTTGGACCATAACTGACATCAGTCTCTGCCAGCATGGCCAACGGTCAGGATTGATTTAGTTGTGGGAATCTGCTGTATACTGAGTTGGCAGAGTTGTGCCATTTGTTGGCACATGTGTGCCAGGTGGGGCACAGCACGAAGGATGAACAGAACCCATTATGCCAGCCTAGACCTTGCACTGAGTGGGGGAATGGCATGAAGCGAGGAGGCCAGGGATGCGGTGGCAAGGCAAAGCTGGGTTCTGGGGCCCAGAGACGCCCAGTGGTAGGCAGGGCAGCATGGCAGGATGGGGATTCTTGC